AGAAAAAACTGCCGGCGGTGGTAGAATATCGACCGTCAAGAAGGGGGGAGGTTGCACGGTATCGGAGATTATCGGACGTAAATTCCTTTCATGAAGTTGTGGATAGTCAAAGTAGAGGCGTTGAGGAACAGCTGGTGAGACCGGCCATAGTGCTCAGAGACCACAAACGCCATCGCTACGGTACAGTCGATCAGTAGATTCAGCACCAAAATTTGTGGGAGCTTTTCTGAATGCAAAAATTGAGTAATAGTTCTCTTAAATAAAGGATAATTTTGCAGAGTTTTCACACTCATGGGTAGTTTATTCCAAATATAAATTGCATTTACAGAAAAGAACCGACGATATTTAACAGTACGTGCCAGAGGCAGAAATAAAAAGACCTCACGGTGACTGTTACGTCGTGGGTGGATATGATGTCTTAAAGAGGTGAGTGGGTTAAATGTGTGATTATATAAGAGTTTAAATAGCAAAAATAGTCCCCTTTGTAATCTACGGGACCATAAGGGATCGAGGCCTGTAAGCCGGCAACGTTCTTGGTAAGACAAATGGCGGTGTTCCGCGGTTATGATTCTCTTGGTAAAAAAGTGTTGAACGGATTCTATTTTCTTCCGCTCAGTAGCACGCATGAGGCTAAATAAAAGCGAACAGTATTCCAGACCGGGTCTAACGTACATGTTGAAAAGGCGCATTCTAATGTCCCTAGTTTTAAAATTTCGGAGGATAAACCCGGTCGTTCTACGTGCTTTGGAGACTATCAAGGCACAGTGCTCCGAGAGATTGAGACTCTTGGAGTATGATACGCCCAAATCCTTTATAACCCCTGGCACATTTATTGCGTGACCTTCAATACTTAGTTGAGGTTGGCGGTCGTCGCCAACCACCATGACTGAGCACTTATGCCAAGAAAGAGAAAGGCGCCATGTGCGACACCACTGGGCGAAAGCCTGTAGATCGCTCTTTAGGAGCTCAAGCACGATGGCATGATCTGCCGGCTTATATCGATATGCAACTTTAAGATAATCGGCATACATGACAGGCTTACCATTCTGAAATAAATCGGGTACATCATTAACGAAAAGGGAAAATAAAAGCGGGCCGAGTACACTACCCTGAATGACTCCACTCCTCACACGTGTGGGGTTGGAGATGGTATTGGAAATCTTAACTCGTTGTGTGCGAGTGCCCAAATAAGAGGATATAAAATTCAAAAGTTTGCCACCTATTCCGAAAGAGGACAATTTCAAGAGGAGAAGAGCATGGTCAACACGGTCAAAAGCCTTAGTGAAATCGAAATATACTGTGTAAAGAGCAAAACCATGGTCCCTAGATTGGAGAATATAGTCAAAGAAAGAGAGTTGACAGGTGTCACAAGATCGAGCTTTGAGGAATCCATGCTGAGCAGCACTCAGTAAGTTAATCGCTGTTAAGTGACACATCATCTTATCCTTGATCGATGTCTCTAAGATCTTCGAAACTTCAGGGAGGGTGTTTATTGGCCGAAAGTCATCAAATGATGTAGATTTGCCGTGCTTAGGAATGGGCAAAATGTGTGATTCCTTCCACAAGGTAGGATAAGTTTCACTTTCAAGAGCAAGATTAAATATCTTGCATAAGAGGGATGGGAAGATCGTGTTTGCATCGGCTTTTAAAATGCTTACAGGGACACCATCAGGGCCTGGACTATAAGATTGACGAAAACGCCGAATCGCAACAGTCACATCCCACAGAGCGAAACTTATAGTTTCTGGAACTGCCCCGGTCAATGACTGGATGGTCGGAAGCGGAGTGGTCGAGTCTTCAATAAACGTTTTGGACAGGAAATCATTGAAGCTATCCGCGGTTAACTGTGCATCAACTATGGGATTTCCGAGATCGTCTCGGAGGATGGGATACTGCGTCTTTCTCTGAGTTCGTATTTTTCTAGAGAAAAGTTTCGAGACACTGAGCGAATGGTTTACTGTAAAGTGGACCTCTTCGGCTAGCTGTTTTTCTTCAGATAATCTCTTAGCTCGATCAAAAATATCACAAATCAAGGGCAGAACAGAAACATCGTTCTGCAGATGGAAACGACGAAAGAGTCTGCGCAATCTGCGACGAAAGGGTAATGGTAGGAAAATCTCATCCCCAACATTAATAATTTTCTTACGGGGGACAAAACGAGAAATAAGCGGATCCAAAATTTCGCACAGTTTTGCAGTGCAAACATTTACATCCGAACAAAGGAAGAACTCAGTCCAGTCGTAGGAATTAAGGTGTGTTAATAATTCGGTTGAGCGAGTTGATCGGAAATCGCGGAAAAAGTTATACTTTTGGGACGACATTTCGTCAGCCTCGAATTCCAACGTTGAAACAACCATGTCATGGTCTGAGCCCCCCATTGGGCCTAGGGATGACACCGACGATGGCAAGCAGCCTCTACAGAAAATTAAGTCAAGTATACTTGAGCCTCGGGTGGGAAAATCAACAACCTGAGTCCACATCCCGACATCCACAGCCTCAAGAAAGTCATCGAACCTTCTTGGGCCTGAGGGCGGAGACCAGCGGACTTCAGGGAGATTAAAGTCACCCGCAACCAGCTGATACTTAAAGCTTAAGTCGGCCGCAGCATGAAATGCCTGTGAGAGTAAACGATCAAAATTGTCATTGGCGTTGGGAGGGCGATAGACGCAGCCAATGAGTAAGGAGAACTTATTTTTTAGTGCAACCTGGACCCATCAGCTGCCTTCTGCTGCGGAAAAGTGCGGGAGGTCCAACGGCAAACATGTAAGTGTTTGCTTAACGTAGACGCAGCTGCCCCCACCACGGCTATCTTGGCGATCATTTCGGATGCAATTATAGCCTAGAAGAGAGAGTTCGGAGTCAGCTACTGAGGCTGATGCCCACGTCTCAGTTACTAAAACAATATCAGGACAATGGACGAACACCAGAGTATGAAGCAAAGGCATCTTATTAAGCAAGGATCTGGCATTTAAAACAAAAAGTTTGAAGGGAAAGGCTGTTAGTTTTTGAGGGAGGTGGGCTACATCGTCCAGTTCTGGGTCGCCCACGGAGCAAACGGTCCGGATGCAACCATCCGGTTCTGCAAAAAATTTTGTGGCATCGAAATCTTCTGACGTGGATGAAAAGCGGTACGACTTGGGGGAGGGAATGACGGGCAGGTAAACTGGTAACTATTGTTGGCTAACTTATTTTCAGCTGGAAATCCGCGGGGCAGATACTGCAACGTATTCCCGCCGGGACGAAACTGAGGATCGGATGAATTAACTGATTCAGTATGGACATTATCATGAGGAATAAATTGGTAAAACGGCCGTGGAGGAAACAATTTAGGGGGTGGGGGGCGCATTGTTTCCATTGGAACAGGAGGTCTATTAAACGGTGGGAAAATCGGCATATTCGGCCTAACTGCCTTGATATGAGGGCTGGGGGGCAGTAGCGAACCCGCTACGTTTTGAGTCGGGGTATTTGAGGCACTGTTAGCCGATTGTGGAGGAAAAGATTTTATAATGGTGCTGGATTTATTGGGTGTCCGAGTGGCTGAGACAGCAATTGGATTTGCCTTTGACTTAGACACATGCTTCGGCTGACGAGGGGTTGCTGGGGGAGTCGATAGTGGCGTGTTTATACCAGGCGTGATGGTGTGTTTAAAGAGCTCAGCATTAAAAGTAGTCGAATTCCCTACGGGATTGACTATGCCGTGATGTGCAGATGCCGCAGATGGTGTTGTAGAGGACTTATTCAGACTGACAGTAGGTGCCATTATCTTGGTGCTGGTTTTTGCCGAATTTAATTTATTCAGTCTTCGCTGCAGGGGTGTGAGGTCTGGCGAAACGGAGCAGCGCCATTTACGGCAGAAGTCTCTAGTCATCTCCCTACTCGACAATATAAAATCGACTTCTATCATGGAGAAAAGGGTAACTAGTATCGGCGCATTACGACTAAGCGAGCGAAGTCGCTTAGCTTTTGCGACACTGAAACTCAAGCCACAACTTTGTAGGAACAAATGCGCTTCCTTCATAGCAGATAAGTGGCTCGGAATGTTTCGCAGTACGAAATTATGCTTGCGTTTAATTCGTTCCTCAGTTTCCGAACTTATTACCCCAATAAGTTTAAAAGCTTGTTCAAGCACTTTTTCAGAAGTGCTGTTTATGTCTCCATAAATCAGCTGATCGAGTATTTCGCCGGCTGATGGCCTGCTACGACTAGCAGAGGCGTATTTTTGGACGACTGAAGGGTCGAGAGGTTCTACACGTACTAAAGGGATTTGTGAGTTAATCAGATCTGCGGACGGCGAAGAACATACGCTGGCGTCTGCCATGTCTTCAATCACGATTTTAGCACCCAGATGTCAAAGCCCACCTGCACCAGCGAAAAAGAAATTAGAGGAAAATTTTATTTGTACGATGTTTTCTACAGGATGCTCCGCACAAGGGGCGTACAGAAGATAAATACAGAATAGGTTTATAGAATAGAATAGGTTTATTGTAGCGCCCTTGGGCAATTTACTGCAAAAAGCCCGCAGTATTAGCAAGCAGTTGTACTAAAGACAAAAGTCGAACAACTTCTTGGATCAAGCCTTGTCTGTTCACCTCCTTTAGTGCGATTGTTAGGATGGGGGCGCTTGTTAGCAGGGCATGCAGGATAATTGTTTCCACCAACGAAGGCGTTGTCTTGACTATAAAGCCACGGCAGATGCGTTTGTGGAATCACAACAACCTTTGGCAAGCATTTTAAAACTGCAGTCCCCCTTCTTTTGCGTATCCTGCGTTGATATTCAGCCCTGCCAGTTGAATTTTGCAACTTGTCCGTATATATTTCCAGTAGATCCATGCATGTAAATGCTCAGTGCTTTGACTGGATCGGCACACCTAAGTGGATAAATGCTGAAATGACCATTTTTGTGCTTTGATCAAAATGTGTGCCTCTATAATCCATGCAACATGCACATACATTTGGAATGTGCAGTTTGAATGCCCACCTTGCTGCGCTCCACTTTAAAAATGGCAGAGCCGAGTGATGCGCAACTTCGGAGTGCTATAAGAGGTAGTCTCAAAAGCCCGTTCATCTTATTTCGGACCCTGTAGAGATCCTGCAGAATGCCGACCTTTCTAAAGTTACGTCCAAAAATGTTCGAAAAAACTTAGAAGATATGTTCAACATAGACTTGAGTGACAAGAAAGCAGCAATTGAGAAAATGATCATGAAAACTCTTGAAGACCTCCACAGTAGCCCAAAAAAGTCGCCTGCAAAGCGTTTGCCCTCGCCTGAAGCTTCAGGTCTGGTTCACATAGTCTGACTCTCCTACAGATGATTCTAATTCTGAATCGAGCTCAGACGAGAGGTCGTGTGATATTCCTAGAACGAAGGGACGAAAGCTTTCAAGCGACGAGAATTATGCTAGAAGTCTTCATGCAAGGGAAAACGGGATGCGAAATCGAAAGTCCAAGGGTAGCTTTTGTTTTGCTCTATGCTGTAGTAGCTAAATCAACACCGCGTGCACCAAGAGCCGAAGGATCCAAAAGTGGTTTTACTAAGCCTCTGACCCTCTCGGACGAACTGGCTGAGTATCTTGGAACGCCGAAACTCTCTCGAGCAGAACTAGTTAAACGATTTTGGGATGAAGCTAAGGCCAAAGATCTATTCGTAAGCAGTCACTCTTCAGCTTTAACATTTTAGGACCCCAAAAATCGGCGGTACGTCGTCTGTGACGAACAGTGGCAACGGCTGTTTGGACAAAAGCGCTTTTTGATGTTCGGAATATCAAAGTATCTAAGCCGTCATATCGTTGATTAAATTTTTTATCCATTTCCTCGTCACTTGTTTCTCCTTTCCCTCCGTAATATTTCCTTGCCACAGCGACCCTCGAGAATCCTCGATAACGGCAACGTTACTGAGTTGATTGAGATTTACGTCCCTCAGATAAAACCTGGTGCCCATATCCGTATGACCTACCGGGAATTGAGGAAGTCTTGTTGTTGAAGAAGGAAATTTATAGCGGACTTTCGCCAAAGTCCCACAGTCGTACACGCAAGCGCCGTCTCTTGTCGAAACGCTCGACTATAGTGTGCGGCAATTTGATCTGATGATCTTCGTGCGTCGGAGGTTGCCAGGGCTATGCCAGCTGCACGGAGGCCACTACATTCGACGGTTATAAACGATGACATTGTTCCTGCACCCTCTGCGGCCGTTGTGTTCCTCGACGGAATTATTATGCAGGCGGTTTGTTTTGATTTCTCTGAATTCGCCATTGAAGACCTATTTAAAGACGTCTGGGTAGGGTGGTAATAAATGACTTCTCCTCAGTAAGGGTTCCGACCACACGGCTATTTTTGACGCTTTCGAAATGAGGCAAGGACGACACTTTACGTCATTTTTGCCAAATACCTTTCACTGCGTTTTTTGTGAGGTCCTGTTTTTTTTTGACTGATGCTATTTTGGGAACTACTAGACACGTATCGTGAGTCGGACTTGCAAGCGTGGGGTCTTTGGTGCGAGCGCTTGCTGTCCAATGGTAAGCTGACTGATCCAGGGCCTCCTCGGACATTTCCTAATACTTTCTTGGATCGATCTGTGTTCGTCGCTGGACAGTCAATTGTTGGACCAAATCATGGTCAAAATGGTGAATCACTTACATTATCATTAGCTCCTGTTTCTGACGTGCTCGAATTTTTGAACTATGTCTACGGCGCCCAGATAGTCTTGTGCTGTGGATTCTCGTTAAATGCTGGCACTCGCTATCATTGACCTTCCGGACGCATTAGAAATGATCAGGGCTACGCAGGTATTCAGTCGTTGTTACAATCCATGAATTCTGCTTGCCTGTACTCCATTAAATTTCGTCGGTTCGTCGCGTACTTTTCACAACTCAAACTTTTGACCAAAGGTTGATGAACAAGTCCGGATTTGGAGGTCGAAGGGAGAACGGTTCCTTGACAGAATGAGTATCTCGACTGCTAAAGTTGCGAAGGTTCCAGTCCTGCTGAGAAAGCTTTCCAGAGCGCAAGAGAGACCAACTTGGTTCTTGTCAACGAGAACGCTAACCGTCTGCGCTATATGAAAGTACTGCGAGTGCATCTATCCCGGTATTTTAAGCATACTAGGGCCAGCCTTTAAAGATCCTAATTCAACGACTAGTCGGTACCGCATTGTTCAGACATCAGATACCTCTCATGCCCAACTGAGTCTCATCATCTCAGTCCATTCGGGCACCTTTGGGACTATTTCTAACGGATAGTTCCAATATTGGCGAAATCACTGAGCACTTCCCATCTCAGTGTTAATTGTGTAAATGTTTGGGATTTGGTAAAGCGAGGGGCCATGACCTTTCCTTTAGTATGTGGAGACTAGTTGCTGCCGGGTATTATTAGTTGAGTTGGTTCGTTATCTTTGTATGTAAATAAATTAAAGTCAACAGTTGAACGGGCAGACGGATTTAAAAAGGCGCGACGCTTACTCCATTTTCATTGAATTTGCACTATTCACCGGGGAGGGAAGGTGTGGTGACCCATTTTTCGCCCGACAAAGTAGCCAACACAATTTTATAATATTATGGTTACATAATAGTCTTTAGAACCTTGCCAGTGTCTACCGGACTCCATGAGCGGGCGTTTCCGATTATGTCCTTGTACCACATAACTATACCTTACAACTCTGTTTTGAGTTATATTACTTACGTCTGTCTAGCGTGCGCTTTTTATGTTCAAGTAGGCTGACGGCAGCTAACCAGTCATTGAGGGTGGTGAATGGGTATACACAACTAACCTCTGTCCGCTTTCTGAAAAAGTCCTTTGGATTGCATTGAAGACACACTGTACGCATTGTTCTAGCTAGTAACCATCAGGAGTGAAGACAGCTTTTGTCGCTCGCGATCGCTCCAGACACAGTGGGGCTTTGCCATTCTCACCAGGAAACACTTGCTCGTGAGCGAGTGCCTGAATAAACCTCCTGTCATAACTTATTTACATTCCCATGCAGTTGCCACTCTAGGGAAAATCAACTTAAAGCAAATGTCTTTCACCCTGTCCCTAAGGATAACGGCGGGAAGCGGACCGATGGTTAGTTGATCGTGTTGATGTCGATAACGAATACGTAACTGCTCTCAGCAAAGAGAGGCAACGTGTATAGACACTGATTCTATCCCTCATATTGGAGTGGGTAATTTGCGCCGAACGGTTCACCCATTACGAACATTTTGCGTAAAGAGACAGCATACACAGCTTATCATTCCTGTCCGATGCAACCACTGTTCTACCTAACGACGAGAAACAACAGCTCCGATGTAGGTAATGAGGACAGTGATTTGAAGTCTGGCTCGAAAACCATCTGCTCGCTTTAGACGCAAGACGAGTTGTATGAGAAGAGTGCGAGGATGTTCAATTTGCCATCGGCTTGCAGCATCAAATCGTGACAGCAATCTGGCTTTGGGCCAGACAACATCTTAGGGAAACTGGGCTTTTGGGAGAATTGACGAGCGTCGGGCGAGGCAGCCTAAGCCGATGTGACGGACGTCCTTGGTCGACATGACAATGACATCAAGGCTCGTTAACCAAGGGAAACTTGGGGAACCAGAAGCCAATTGTCCAATAGAACCGACCAAGTTAGTCGTAGTAGAGCGGCTCCGGCCTGTTAGATGGTTAGAACGGATTTAATGAAGAAACTGGGCACTTAGAAAGTCCTAGGCCAAAACGCCGCCACGTGATTCAGCTGCGAAGGGTATGACTCATTAGTCAGAATCCCAGCGTTCCTTTGTGCTTTCTGGTAGATACTCCACTTTGTTAAGTAGATTAGGAAACGAACATTTCGGAACTAAAGCATCTATTGGAAAGCATACGGGTAACACTGAGGGACTCGCTGATAAGCCAAACCCCTAGCACCTGTAATATAACGGGAGACTATCGGCGGGACACGCATCTGGACTTTTTGCTAGTACCTATGCTTTAAGTGCGGCAAATTTATTCATATGTGCAGTACTGGCTGCCTGTTGGCAGTCTATGGATATTACACGGTTATCCTCCTGCATCTGTCGGGTCGCGTCTCACCTACTCATATTAACTGCCAGACTGAGGTTATCAGAGTTAATTCCCACTGAATTACTCCAAGTCACCGATTACTTTCTGAGGATATTAAGAAGCTGGTAATCACGTCATATTTTTTGAATTCTCCTGTTTACATGGTTTGCAAGTAAATTAAGTTATTCTAATACCTGTCGTTTTGTCTCACCTTCTTCTCGTCGAAAAGGTAAGGATCAGTGGACTCGGAAACGAAAAATCCCATAGAACTTCAAGAAGCCAAGTAACTTTCAAAAATGCTCGGATAATCTAATGAAATGACAAAGAAATCTTATTGCTGATCATAGCTGGGAAGAGCTTGGCGAACATTTTTTGAATCAGGTGACGCTTTGCATGCTACAAGAACTCCGATTGCAAACAGAGTGGTTTCAACAGAGAGCATGGAATGGCTCTCATGGCTTTTCTCAACAACTCCAATTGGGGTTCGAGGAAATACGTAGCTACCTCTACGGACTTGAGCAAAGACTGACGTAGTGATTTAGAGTGAATCCTAGGAAATATAGATATAGTTGTCTATCGTGTAAAATGGCGTACAAAAGAAAGCCAGAGCGGAATGGTATTAGTGCTTGAGCTTTAAGGAGCCAGTACCCTTTGAATGTCCCTTCTTGTTTCAATCTACTTCAGCATCAAGTTCCGAAGGTTGTGTGGATGGGCGGCCGCGTTGGCAAGAGGAGGCTGCCATTGTACCCCCGGCTATACCAAAGGCAACGTTGCAACGTCGAAGGAATTGTTCTGATCCTAAGTACATGAGTAATCAATCGGTCAAAACGTGAGCATGTCGTCCACTGTGTGTGATAAAGGAGAGACGGAAAGAGATACCCGGTCGCGCACTGTGGTGGGAGGGTTGTAGGAGTATGAAGAAGCTCCATTTGGAATTAACCGACATAGAGAGAGAGAAAGCAAACGAGAGGGAGAGAGAGGTAGGGAGGTGGAGAAACAGGGAGTAGGCGTTGGTCCACTTTTGTTCCTCCAGAACAGCTGCCTTGGCCCGGTAGATGTTGACCACGCAATATTCACCGCGAAGGATTCGTTAGTTTTGGCATTTCGTGAGAGTACCGGGGACGGTCCTTCATGCGTTGGTTTCAGCTCCTCACACACATAGTCACACTGAAAAAAACACGTGAGTACAGTCGGCCAAGCCCTTTTCGACATAAAACCCGGTCGGTGGAGTTCGTGGCGAGACCGGGGACAGTGAACGCATGAATTATCAAAGACAACGGGCAAAGTTGTCAGAACTCGTCGGCACCGCGAGAGATTGGGCTGACCATTTTGCCTGGTAGTCGGAGTGTAGTATTGAGCATCGATTCGGCTGCGCTACAATTCAAATCCAACTTCAGTACAGCAGGAGTGTCCAGGGCGTCAGAAGCTGGTGGTCCAACCGGTTCTGTGTGGCACACAGGACAGCACTTAGTTGGCGGTGGAGACGCTAGACCATGCCGTTAGCTGGTGGATGGTACGCTGTCGTCGGGATACGCATGAAGTTAAGAAGGGTGAGGACTTGGAAGGAGGCAGCCTCGAAATGTGCATCCCGGTCAGTCTTCATCGTGGGATGGGATGCCGAAGATGTTGACCTAGCGACTGATAAAATGTCTGGCGATGATACCTGCCTCTACACTCAGCACTCTACACTTACTGGTCGACGCAGGTGAGGAAGTGCATGTAGCCATGGGGTAGAGACAAGGGGTCTATTACATTCTGGTGAGCGCAAATGAACTTTGCATCGGGCTGGGGAAGGTGCCTGGTGGAGATTTGTTATGGCGCCGCACCTTGTTCCGTTGGCTGCCCAGACACGATCGTAGCCCAGCTTTGGCGTCCTTGTTCATGCCAAGCCACAGAAAACTTTCATCAAGGAGCTCATGGGAGGCTCAGATATCGAGATGAAAGGGTCCATGAAGAGATTGAAAAACAGCTGAACGCATCGGGATGGGCACAAACGGACGATAAAAAGAAGTTGAGACGTCGCAACGGTGGTCATAGGAACGTCCACAAGCGGGAGTAGGCGCAAACCGATTCATTAGCTTTCCGAAGCAGATAGGTCCCGAATCGCGTTCAGGGTCGTGACTGACTAAGTGAAGGCAAAGTTAGTCCGAAACAGTACTGTAACGGTCTCTCCGCATCTCCATCGACGCGTCCACCTAATTTCTTCTCTCTCCTCACACTGTGAGTCATCACAGTCTACTGAAGGTGATTTTGATCAATGAACGCAGCAGCTCCTAGAGGTCCTGGATCAGTTACCTCCGAGGCATTCTCTGAAGTGCATCTTATGAGCCGCGAATCTAGACAAATGCAACCAGGGCGTATTTGGGGGGGGAGGTCCTTCAACTCCTCTTCAAAATAAAATCGCCTGTTTGATATAATGACGAGGAAGTATGTTAGTGGCCCTCCATGAATGG